CCATGCCTGGCCGTGCAGTGTTTTAAAATTAGCTACAAACTGCACAAAAGCAATCATGTGTAACCAAAATGTCTTTACCTCCATAATATTCTGGAATTAAAAAAAAATATTGTAAAGATAATAAAAACGTAAGTGAAAAAAGATAAAATTAGCTACCTAGGTGTAGTGGCACATGCCTATAGTCCCAGATACTTGGGAGGCTCAGGCAGGAAGATCACTTGAGCCCAGGAGCTTGAGGCCAGCCTGGGCAACATAGCGAGACCCCATCTCTAAAAAATAAAATCAGCTACCTTTTGTGGAGCTGCTAAAAGTTTATATATGAGTGTAACATTTATTAGTAGCATAAATGTCTAGCTATTTTTGGAAGGCAAGCCTAGTCCATACTTGAGTGAAAATGATTTTATCTGTCATTAATAATGGAGATTCTGGTTAGCTTTTTGTAAAATAAATCTTAAATAATGAACCTTTTTATTGATGCTTCATTTATAGAGGATCACAAGACTATAAGCAAATAGTATAGGTTATCCATTGTAAAATCTGGTTGCTTAAGCAGTCAGCAGTTATGGGAGAGCAGTTAGATTCTTAGCAGTGTTGACGACTAGCTGCTGGATGCTGTGTGTCACCCTGTTGATGTTTTAAAGCTTAGTCTGTTATATGTTATGTATTTCTCTTCTTTTTACTGAATTGTTGTTAATCAGTACTGTTACTGCTATTTTTAAAAATGTGCAATTATAAATTCTTAGTCCTTAATAATTTTTAAGTCTTATTTAAGCCCTGTTTACTAGATGTAAAAAGAAAAGGAGTTTAGATTTCATTGTATAGTTGGTTTCCCTTATACAGATTCTTAATTTTTGCTGTATTTGGAGTATTTTACTTTAGTCATTTTTACTAGATTTAAAAAGAGAGATAATTTAGATCTTATTGCTGTATCAGCTGTTGAAAAGTTTTGTGGTATGCTTTACTTTCTTTAAACATAACTTGAAAAATAAGACCCAACTCATTAGGCCAGTGACCAGAGTTCAGCACCCTGGTGGAAATTCAGTATCTTTCTTGTCTACTGTCATTCAGTAAACATTTTCATTTCATTTGCTACATGTTTATATTTTCTTTGATGTGTTTATTTTTGTTTTTTAGACAAACATGTTGTTGATGTGACATGTATGGATTTTGGAGGGGAGGGGCTGGGATTTGGAGGAATAAAGGTTAAAAGCTTGCTAGAATGTTTGTACTTGACTACCTTCAAAGGATTTAAGACAGCATATTTACCATTAATTATTAGGAGCTTCAGTAAAAAGATGGTTTTATTTAAAAGACATGTAAAACTATCTATAATCTGTTTATTACAAATAGGTGTTTGTGTGACAAGAGGTTATTTTAGTGATAATTATACTAGTTCAAACTTCCAGGGATTTCCAAAGTGTTTTATTAGTGAAATGTAAAATACTTAATACATTTCTAAAAGTACATTTCAAAAATCTAGAATAAAATACAGCTTATCTCAAACACTTTCTTACTCCTGTTTCTATGCCAGCACCTAACAGAATGTAGAGTATTAATAAACACTCATTTCTTGTTGAATCAATGACTGTTGACACTCTTACTGTGTGCAAAGCTGAACAGACACCTTGGGGATACGGAGATCACTTAGTCCTTGCCCCTAAGGTGCTTATGTTCTAGTAGGTTAATGAAATTAATAGTTTGTGGTTAGCACTTTTTAAAAAGATAACAAAATAGAAAATATCAGAATGCATCACACGTTGTAATGATGCGTAGCTTCATGAAGATTTTGTCTCAATTACATAAATTTATTTTATCTACCATGGGTTGTGACATAAAATATTTCTTACTGTGGCTTGGGGTCAAAAAGTTTTAAAAGCCACTGTTTTTAGGCACACTGCTCCAAACCTTGCTCAAAAGTGGGGAAAGCAGAATGCTTAGATCGCAGGGTGTGTGGAAGGTTATAATCAGACACGAGACTAAAATGGTAAGATTGGCTTTGAACGCCATGCTAAAAAAGTATGGTGGTGGGGAAGTTAGAAAGGGTTTAAGTTTTTGAATACTTAATATGTTCCTCTGGTTCAAAGCTCAAAATGTATTGCAGAGCATTTAGTGAAAAGTCTCCTCCAACCCCCAAGCTAGTTCTCTTCTCAACAAACATTAGTTTTTTGAGTATCTTTCCAGAGATGTTTTATGTATGTCAAAACAGCTGTTATGTTTTTCTTATTTTTCCCTTTTTTACATAAGTGATAGTAGACCATGCACCATGCAGTTCTGTTACTTTCTTTTTGTTTGTACATATTATGGGATTTCTCCATAACAGTACATGAAGAGCTTGAGGGAAGGTTATTGAGGAAGGAAAATTACTAGATTTGGTCCATATGTTAAGAAGCAGTCAAGGCTAAATCAGAGAAGCAGAGTGTTCTCTTTGAACTTGACTTTCGAAATTCATGTTAGATGCTCCTGCTTTTCTTGGGTCAAACTTCTTAAACCACCCTCCAACTAAACACAGGTGAGGCTGTACACTATAAAGTCCAGTTTAATTCACAGTATCTCACTATTTCCACTAACTCTTTATCCATTTCCCTCTGAGTTTTTAGGGCCCCTCCTCTTTACCTCTGCCCAGGAAGGCTTTTCTGACTTGCCCTGCCCTAAACACTGGCCTAGGGGCCTCGTCTCCTTGCTTATCCCCATCATAGCATCTAGCACAGTCTATTGTAATTACATGTTTTCTGGCAAGTTTTCTCATCACACTAGAAGCCCCTTTTATGTACAGGACACATTGCTAGTTGTTTTGTAGATACATTAGTTTTTTGAATACTTAATATATTCACCTGGTTCAAAGCCCCCAAACTATTGAAGAACTTATACATATATGACCCCATGATCTCTTTCTGTCCTTAAGGAGAGTCAGGGAGACAGGATATACACATAAAAAGATAAATCATATTGACTCAATGACAAGTCAGTGTGGTATGATTGGTACGAGTGCCATGTGAGTCACTGACAGCTGAGGCAATTAAGAAGAACTTATTGGAAGAAGTGGGACCTAATTGAGTAGTAAGGGAGTATGGTATCTTGTGTAAAAAGATAAATAGGTGCTTCAAGAACTGTTTTATGGGAAAAAGGGGAACGCAGCAGAAGAAAATGGGATAAATAGGACTTAGGGAAATACTGGAAGTGGGAAATGTGGAGAAGATGAAGTACACACTAAGTCATATGACAGAATCTAAGCAGAGAAATGAGAAGTGCTGAGAAAATGAGTCAGTCACTCAAATGGAGTACCAAGATATAATGAGAAGAATACTAAAGGAGTAAGGGGAACAGTCCATAGAGAATCAGTGTGAACAGAGGGGCACGTGAAATAAATATAAATATACCCTTAGGCATTTGTGTCCTAACCCTAGATCATGTGGAAAGTGGCCAGGACAACAGAGACTTAACCTTATTCTTCATAGCTGCTGAATCTAATTGTCCTGCTGTTTCTCAGTGAGGTGTGGCTTCTCTCCCATGTTATAAGAGGTTTCCTTTAAGCTTTCTTTCCATTTGCTAATTTATTTACTGGCCCTGCACACTAGGAATATAATTTCAAACTACATATTTATAAAATTCCACTCCAACCAACAGAACTTGGATGCCCCCCTAGAGTCCATTTTAATGGAATTTTTGCCTTCTGTTGTGGTGAGAAAGGAATCCTGGTGTTATACTTAAGTCATTACCAGTTGGAATTGTAGATTATATCTGCGTTTACCCGAAGAGTATTACCATGCCTGCCTGTTTTAAATTTGAAAGACTTTCGATACACATAACAGGAAACTCACTGAAATCTGAAGGTTGTCCTTTTGGGATATGAGTATAAAGGAAGACCAATTCAACTATTAGAATGAAGTTAAAAGCACAGTCTTTTCTTTTGTAATTAATGTCTATTGAGCTGTGTGAATTTTAAAACCTCCGTATTTATTTAACTATTCTTTTTTTTTTTTTTTTTTTTTTTTAGAGTGCCATGACGTCAGCCTAGCTCACAGCAACCTCAAACTCCTGGGCTCAAGCAATCCTTCTGCCTCAGCCTCCCGAGTAGCTGGGACTACAGGCATGCACCACCATGCCCGGCTAATTTCTTTCTATTTTTAGTAGAGACTGGGTCTGGCTCTTGCTCAGGCTGGTTTCCAACTCCTGAGCTCAAACAATCCGCCCGCCTCGGCCTCCCAGAGTGCTAGGATTACAGGCGTGAGCCACCACGCCCGGCCTTATTTAACTATTCTTAAACTAAAATGTTGGAGAAAATTTTTTTGGTTATTTAGTTATATCATAGCACTACTGGCAATAATTTCTGTTTTGTTCTTTTCAGGAAAACTCAAGAAAGGATAAATAAATTTTAATTCAATTGTAGTAGGACTGCCCGACCTGTCTGATATATAAACAATTGGTGAAATTATTTTTAAAACTCAAAATGGAGTTCTGCTTGCGAAAATGATTAACATTTTTAAGAACAAGACAATTTTTATATGTAGCAGTTGCTATAAATTAGATATCTTCACAGAGGAGAACTTGGCTAGATTCCCTCCATCCTTATCTTGTATAGCCCTAAAAAATATATTACAGGTTCAGTATCCCTTATCCAAAAGGCTTAGGACCATAAGTGTTTTAGATTTTGGAATATTTGCATTATACTTACTGGTTCAGCATCCCTAATCTGAAAATCTGAAATCCAGAGTGATCCAATATACATTTCCTTTGAGCGTCATGTTGGTGCTCAGAAAGTTTCAGATTTTGGATTTTTAGATTTCAGATTTTTGGATTAGACTCAACCTGTAATTTGTTCTTTTTGGGTACAGTACATTGGTTATGAAAAAGTTTGCCACCCACATTGATACATTTTGTTGCTTTACCTTGTGCCTTAAGTGGGTAAATAACCCTTTTAAGCTGATATGGTAGTATCATAATAATAGGAATTTGATGTAAATAATTGAGAAATTCTCTTCCCATCCTCTCCTTAAAAAAGTATGTGTTTAATCTTGCAGGCTGTAGAAAATCTCTGTTCTTACAAGATTTCTGCAAACTTGTACAAACAACTGAGACAGATTTGTGAAGATCACATCAAAGCACAGATTCATCAGTTCAGAGAATATCCTTCTAAAAACAAAAAATTTTGTATTTTTAATCTTCTCCTTTCTCGCTATCCCTCACTGTTTAACCTGGCTTGAAGTGGAATGCCTGTGTTTTGTTATTTTTTTGTTCTTTTTTTCCTAGAAAAAAGAAACAAATTTTTTACTTTTCAGCCTTAATTGGGGTCCAGATCTACATGTGGTATACATGTAAATAAGATGTCTTTATGTTTTTACACTTTTTGTCTGGAAAATTTGAGGAAAAATAATCTTCTAAGGGAAATCATAAACCGAAAATATGACATTCAGTTATATCTAAGACTTGTTTTTAAAGGTGTTTCTTTTTTTTTTTTAACATCCTAAAGCTGTTTCTTAGTAGGATCTAAATTTTTTTTTACAGTTTAAGAAATAGCATTTTGTTCTGTGGTTGCCATTTAGTTTCATTTAGTATATAAGATATTTCATATTTAAGACACCTGTTCTATCGTATATATTACTTGTACTAAGCACTTTAAAATATCTTTAACAAATATCTCATGGATTCATTGGATAGTGTTCTTTTTCTAAAGAAGATTGATAGATGCTGGCAAAACCATTGCAGGCAAATGGTAAGCTGGAAAAAGTACTACATTTCAGCTAAACATGGTAGTTAAAAAACAGATTTCTTCAATACAGGCAATGTTAGTTTTAAAAGCTTTGCAATAGGTAGACTGCCTCAATATCTGTTCTTTTTCTAAATTGGAAACTAATTTTGGTTGCATTTTCTATTTTAAAACTGCAAGTTACAGGTAAACTAGCATTTTAGAATGATTTGCGCCTTAGGATCATTTTTATTTTTGTCACACTTACAAAAAGTACGTATCTCATTAAAAAGTTACCTTTTGTCTGTCAGTCTTGATGGTTTTCCCGTCCACTATTTGATTACCTCTAAAGGTACCTGATCATCCTATATTATAATTCATTCACATAACAACCTTCTCTATTCTCCCTAGTCTGGTATTAGTTTATACTTTATACTCTGCAAATTAAAATCTTAAAATCCACCCCCCCCAAAAAACTCCCCACACTTGTACAATTTAAAGCAGCTTTACCCCCCTAGCGCTGTTGCTAAGGAAGAATTGTATGAGTCTCCCCTTGATTCCCTGTTTTTATTTTCAATTACTCCTAAGTAGCAAAGAAGTCAGAGGACCATTTTAAGTGTCTTTTTTCTCGAAACCACAGCAAGGATTAAGACAATAGAATAATGAAAATGATATGGGCATATTCTCAGGTAGATGTGTTTATCTGCATGTTTGATCCTAGTCATCTAATATATATATACAAATGAACCCTTCAGTTTCATTCTTATTGAGAGCAAATATTTCAGCTTTACAAAATATAAAAATTATTTGTTTTTTTTTTTCCATTGGCAGATCATGATCAGGAGCATTTTTTTGTTTCTGGATAGAACTTACGTTCTTCAGAATTCAATGCTACCGTCCATTTGGTAAGGATGCCAGAAAAGCATTATGAAAAGATTTGTTACAAATCATAGTCAAATCTCAATTTCACTAATGAAAGAGTGTGAGCAATACTGTGAATATTCTCCTAAAAATTCACATTTGGCTTCTACATTTTTATTCATAACAGTTTTACCTTCTTCTTAATGATATGTTGCTTATGCTAATATTGAAGGTAGTTAACATTCCCTGAGCATATATTAATTTAGGAGAAAGTTTTTGTTAGCCAAGGACTTTAAAGTTTGCTCTGGAATATCTATGAGTGAATCATTTTGCTGCTGATTATCAAGAGTTCACTCATTTTCTTTTAGCACTATTATGGAAAAGTCCATCTATACATGAAAATAGAATAGTGTAATGCACTTTTCCCCCTACCATGTGCCTAGCATCTGCCTACAGCAATGATCAGAGTTTACTGATTTTTGAGTACTGAAACCACTTGATAAATGATCAAGTAAATCTTCAATACCAGTGCAGTGAAAACCATTTTATGTCTTCAAACTAATTTTATCTCTTGATTTGACCAAGGAAGAAATCCACCAGAGGAAATAATACAACTAAATTTAGTTATGGAGGAAGACAATAATGTAGCTTCAGTTCTCATTAAAGACAAAATGAGTTTCCTGTATGCTTTAATCTAATAATGTTATTCAAAATTAAATATGTTGGATTTTATCCTTTTTACAATTGCTGCTTCAAAGCGTGGAGTCCTAATTAATATGTGGTAAGAAATTAAGCAAGTCTCTTTAGTAGTAGTAGTATTGTCAATTAATTTAGGTAATATATGTTTTTCATTTTAGGGACATGGGACTGGAGTTATTTAGGGCTCATATCATAAGTGATCAGAAAGTTCAGAATAAGACAATTGATGGCATTCTTCTCTTGATTGAGAGGGAAAGAAACGGTGAAGCAATTGATAGAAGTTTACTCCGAAGCCTTTTAAGTATGCTCTCTGATTTGCAAGTAAGTTAACCACTTCACTTACTACAAAGCTGATTGCTGTCCCTATTTCGATGTTTAAAAACCATATTCATAGTGCTGTTCACATAGAGGACATTCAGTAAATATTTATTGAATAAATGAACTCCTTTTGTTCCCGCCTCCCAGATTTATCAAGATTCTTTCGAACAACGATTTTTGGAAGAAACTAACCGGCTCTACGCAGCTGAAGGTCAAAAATTAATGCAAGAAAGAGAGGTATTTAAAAATCATGATTAATAAATCCTCTGTCTCTCACAGTAGATCTTACCTGAGAGAATATAAACTTCCCTTTACATTTATCTTACCAACATTGTGATACTCTTCTCTCACTTAGGTGCTCCTTTTTTTTTCTCTTCTTAAAGGCCAGAATCCTGGGTCATAAACTCTACCTATAATTTTACATATGATTCTACCCTGTCACATTTGACAGGGCTGCTCCCAGGATCTTTTGGACTTGACATTTTCTGAGTGATTTGTGGGGAGGAAAACAATTAATGTAAAACACTGTCTTTGTAGGTTCCTGAATATCTTCATCATGTTAACAAACGTCTAGAAGAAGAGGCAGACAGACTTATTACTTACTTAGATCAGACCACCCAGTAAGTATTACATGCTTGGCCTGATAGTCTTAAAACTGTCGTCAAATCACGTAAGGCACTTTAGGCATCCTAAACATGTTAGTAACTATTTGTGGGTGTGATTTGAGGTTTTAACAATTGTTTTCATAATGCAAACTTCAAGTTGTTATTTCCCCCAGTGGATTAGACTTAATCAAGGACTTGATTATTGGTTGTGTGTATGTTTAGGATGTAATTAAAAATAGTATTAGAGGCTGGCGTGGTCTTTGAAATCTTCAGGTTGATTCAAATTCAGTGGATTTTCATAGGAGAAACTTTCCATGCTTCCTAAATATTACCAACCAAGGGGTTTCTGTAAGCGTAGATAATTTCTTTACCTTCCTAATAAAAGTAGAAAAACTTGGAAAAGGCTAGCCACAGCAACACCATGGAGATAATTTATTTTGTGATGTAAATCAAATTCCGAAATATGCAGGATTTCCTTCTTCTGGACATAAAGTAGAGAACTCTGAGCACCAATAATTTATACATAGGATAGGAATATTGAAAGTAACATAACATTAGCTGTTTGATTTTTTTTTCCCTTAGGAGAGGCTTTACATTTTCAGGAAAGTCAAATGTCAGTAATCCTAAACTTTTTTTCCTTGTAGGAAGTCATTAATTGCTACTGTAGAAAAACAACTTCTAGGTGAACACTTAACAGCAATTCTTCAGAAAGGTAACTGGCAATTTATAAATAAGAGATTACTTTTAAAATGGTAGTGGCAAACAAGTAGAGAATTTTTAAAAATATTGCCATTTTAAAAGCTTGATAATCCTAGCACTCTTGGAGGCCAAAGTGGGAGGATTGCTTGAGGTCAGGAGTTCGAGACCAGCCTGAGCAAGAGTGAGATCCTGTCTCTACTAAAAATAGAAAAATTAGCTGGGCATGGTGGCATGTGCCTATTGTCCCAGCTACCCGGGGGACTGAGGCAGGAGGATCGCTTGAGCCCAGGAGTTTGAGGTTCCTGTGAGCTAGGCTGACAACACAGCACTCTAGTCCGGGTGACAGAATGAAACTCTGTCTCAAAAAAATGATAAAAAAAAAAACTTGATAGCGTGTAGCTACATTTCTGAGCATAGGCACAATCCTTTTCACCTATTCATCACAGTAAACTTTCTGGAGGTGCTGATTTCCTTAAATGAGTGTGAGAGGAACTGGAAGAGAGGAATCTACCAATACCAATAAAGAAACAGTTGTTGGCGCACACCTATAGTCCCAGCTACTCAGAAGGCTGAGGCGGGAGGATTGCTTGAGCCCAGGAGTTTGAGGCCAGCCTGGACAACTTAGTGAGACTTCGTCTCTTAAAAAAAAGAAGCAGTGGGAATGTGGGAAATTCTTCACTTAATAAGTAAGACTACAGTAAGAAAAAGCATTCTTTTTCCACTGAGGTGGGTTTTTTTGGTTATTCATAATATGTAAAGCCAAGCACTTCTACTAATTCCAAGTGGGGATCTTAGAGTATACCCTGAATTTTACTTTGACAGTGCTATAAGTAGGCAAAAGTCTTACCTTTCTTTCCAACAATCTTTTCTTTTGTATAAAATGGATATATTTAGAACATTAATGCAGTTACACTGTTATTTCATTCAGAAAATCAAATACACTAGAACCCCAGTTAAACTTGACCTATTTATTCATGGCTTTTGATATATCACAGGCCATATCCAATATTCTGAAATATACCTATATACACTAATGCCAGATCCAGATATAATATGGCGAGTATATATATGAGGTATTTATAATGTATGTTTTTGTAAACCAGTTTTTATAAATTGATTTATGCAGTCTGGTCTGTCATGCTAAATGACACAAACCATTATATATAGTCAACTATTTCTATAGCGACTAAAGTAGCTATATTTAGTTTTTACCCAGATAGGTAATTGTCTATTTGGTTTTAATTTAGAAGAAATCTTACATTACAACTCACATACAGACTAGTCATAGTTCAGACCAATGTTACAGTAATAATTTTAACTTAAATTTCATTAAAATATCTGAAAATTTTGTTCACTTTTTTGTTTACCATATTTTAATGCCAAAATGTTTTAAAATTCAGGTTTAAATAACCTCCTTGATGAAAACCGAATTCAAGATTTGTCTCTCCTGTATCAGCTCTTCAGTAGAGTTCGAGGTGGAGTTCAGGTTCTCTTGCAACAGTGGATTGAATACATCAAGGTATTAACAATTTACATGTGATTTTTCTCTCTCGTGGCTTATAATCTACACACCAGGAGTGCATATTGGCAAGCATTTCTTAATTGTTTGATCTGATTTCTTTTAAGTAGGGGAATTTTGATTTTTTTTTTTTTTAAGTAAGGGAAATTTTGAAAATAGTCAACCTGAGAATGATAGCTCTGCGGCAAATCAGCAATAAAATCTGATTAATCTCTGACATGGTTTCTAGCTCCAATACTTAAAGCAGTGAATGTGGGAAAGGGAAGACTTACAATATTGTGTACCCAGTGATCATTCCTAATTATTTTTGTGATTATGGATAAATGGTAGCAGGCTGCATATTTTATCACTTCATTTTTTTTCCTTACTTCCAAACAACTTTAATTTTTTAAGATCTTTAAATATATGTGCTAACTCAAAATATGATTTGGGGATTTTCATTGCAGATAATTCAATTCCAGTAAAAAGTGGCAATTTTTGTTTTTAGGGATTTGGCAGCACTATTGTAATTAATCCTGAAAAAGATAAAACCATGGTTCAAGAATTGCTGGATTTTAAAGATAAAGTTGACCATATAATTGATATCTGCTTTCTGAAGAATGAAAAATTTATCAACGCCATGAAAGAAGCATTTGAAACATTTATTAACAAAAGACCAAATAAACCTGCTGAACTTATAGGTATTTTTCCAGTCTTTTTTCCAGTTATTTAAATTCTTTTAGTCATAGGATCTCAATCTGAATTTGTGACAAGGTTGTAGTATACTGAAACCTCATTTGGGGTTACTTAGCTGGTACTACTAAGTTTGAAAAGTGTTTCTAAGAACCTGGATATAAGGCATAAAGCCCTTCAAGCTAAAGAACATCTCAAAGCCCTCATGTCAAACAGGATGTGCTTTCTTCATAAGACAGTACATTGGACCCTATGTTGGACCCTATGTACTTTTATTCATAATAAGCTTGATTATCTGTTTTCCAAGCCTACAGTGATTTAGAGATGGGGCAGGGTGCTATTTGTAGAGGCCTGCACTTAGAGCTGCACAAAAGGGCAGTATGAAATTATAGTTGCCAGTGAGAAAGGAGAAAGTCCAGGGCAAAAAGAAACCTGATAACCCGGGCCCATTTAGTGTAAAGATGTGGTATATACTGCAGTGCTTCTCAGGTTTTCCCACCCAAGTACCTCTTAATGTTAGAGGATGGGGTACCCTGAGAAGGTCTAGGGTCCTCTGCCAAAAGGATGAAATTTTGTTGAAGTCTTTCTTTTTATCCATAAACATTTAACACATTGTACTTTCTACTCTGTAATGTGTCTGGTTTATTTTAATAGCAAAGTAATGTTCAAGATTGCTTACCATCAGTATAAAATGGACACTTCAAAAGATGCTTCATGTCTTTCAGTGGTTTTGATTACCCCTGCACAGGGCTACATGCAGCCTCCCCTAAGGGGTGTCTATATCCCATTTTAATGAACATCAGTGTAGTGGAAAGTACATTTGATTTAGAGTCAGAAGACTTATGTTTGAGTTCAGGCTATGATGTTAGCTCTGTGGCATTAAACAAGACACTTGGTGTCCCTAACTTTGGAGACTTTAAAATAATGCATATATATCTCTGAAGCGTTGAAAAACTCAGTATATCATACTGGTCTTTGGGTATGTATAGTGCCTAGTACCTCATAGATACCTGTGGTCATTAACAAATTTTCTCCCCCATTTTAGCTAAGTATGTAGATTCAAAGCTTCGTGCAGGCAACAAAGAAGCTACAGATGAAGAACTTGAGAAAATGTTGGATAAAATTATGATCATATTTAGATTTATCTATGGTAAGTATTACCGTTTTAATATTTTTCTTTTAAAACAAAGCATTCAACAGAGAAGCTAGCAAGTATATTCAACCTAGAGGGCATATTTATTTGGGAGTTAGAGATTTAAAATTGTATCTTATTCCTCACATTTAATTCATAGGGGATACTCGAGGAATGTTATTTAATTGCCTTGTGCTTTGACTTTTCCACTATTAAGAGCTTTAATTTTTGCTACTTGTTTTAATGTCTCAAATATTGGTGCCAAAGCTACTAGTTGACTAAAGCTTTTCTTAAGAAAAGTTAATGCAGTCTTAATTTTTTTTTTTTTTACAATAAAGATCTTTCGAAATGTCTGGCACAAAAAAAAAAATGGACCTCTAATGTTTCTTGCATTTAACAAACTTGGATAAAATGTGTAAAGTAACTTTGAAGCAATGGCGTGATTTATTAAGCACTTTAATGTAGTTTGTCAGAACTTTTTATTGGAATATTATGAGTGTCACATTTTTTATTTAACATAGGCAAGGATGTTTTTGAGGCCTTCTATAAGAAAGATTTAGCCAAGCGCTTGTTAGTTGGGAAGAGTGCATCTGTAGATGCTGAAAAATCAATGCTGTCCAAACTCAAACATGGTATGTTTGTCATTCTTTCTGTTCCTTTTCTTTGATTTCTGAGGGAAAATGTTAGCTTAATTTTTACTTTCAAATGATTTCCTCTTTTATCAATCATGTGTATGTACATAGGATGAAAACATAAAATTGAAACACTCATGTGGTTTCCAGCCTATTGTACATGTCCAGAGCTGTTGCAGTTTTTTTTAAAAAAATAAAGCGCTGTTCATGTTTTTATTATTTGTATAAAAATTTCCCATTTATCTTATGCCTAAATAGTAGATAAGGTTACTACAGGATTAAAGAGTTTGACTCTGAATTAGTGGGGCATATACTTTGGGGTAAGGATTTCTTTTTATTTTTATGAATAGTTACAGATCATATTTCATGCTAAAGTAAGTTTTATATTTCATGTTTTCCATTTTAAATTCTATGTTTTTACCACCTTAAAATATTATAAATGTACAAACATCTTTAATAGAATGCGGAGCTGCTTTCACCAGCAAACTTGAAGGAATGTTTAAAGACATGGAACTTTCTAAAGACATCATGATTCAGTTCAAACAGGTAAAAGTGAGTTAAACTCTTACTTAATTCCTCGAACTTAGTCATCTATAGTTAACTCCTTGCTGTGGTTTGTGCTGAAGAGGATAAATAGAAACTCGTTTGTTGTAAGTACTTCATAGCAACTCAGATGGTGTTCACGGTACAGGAAAAAAATTAATGAAATGTAAGTATATTTCACCTACTTTAGGATTTTTTAATAAACACCCAAAATAACACAAACAGAAATAAAATGTATTGAACTGAAGTCGGCACAAGAAGAGCTGTAGCTAGATAGTGGGTACAGGACTTTCCCCAACATCTAATCACTTGGTGATTCGCACGTTCAGAGACTGTGAGGGGGAGGGAGGAGAGATGATAAAGTGTTTGTATAAAGCCTTAGGGAACATTGGCGATGAAAATTTAGATCCATAGTTTGGAAGATGTAGGTAGAAAGTAGTTTTAAAATATTTGAGCACATAGGTGACAGTGATAGCAAATTAAATTTTCCTTTCTTAGGGTTTTAGTAGTGACGTCTTTACCACTATATTGCTAAGGTGGGAAATGAAAGTGAAAGACTCAGGAAAAGATTAGGGTCGGTAGGATCATGGATCCTATAGTAGGTAAAGAATAGAGTTTACCTGCTTTGCCCTTCCCCCCTTCTTCTTCCTTCCCTACTTCAGGTCACCCCCTGCAAACAGGCAGTGGAGCAAGTGAAAAACTGGAGACTTGGGCTGGCTGGTGGGGTGAGGAATGGGGTTGCTACAAGGTGTTAAAGCCAAATAGGGGTCTCCAAAGGTGAGGACTGCAGGTGGTATTGGGGAAAAGAATGGAGAAGAGATCCTGAAACAGCTTAGCTGTATGTGAGAAATTATTTAACTTCATAATGCCTATAATGAGGTCATGTGATCCTTGTGTGCAATTGTATCATAATGTTAAGCTATGCACTTTCATATAATGCATTTTGTGTAGGCTTCATTTAAAATCCTCTAAATGGTTGCCTTTTATCTTAAAGGATGGTCACCATTTGCATGCAGTTGTATAATGGGTAACTTTTAAAATGGGTTTATTATGACATGAAATATGTGCCGTTTTAGTTTAAGATCTCAGCGTATGTATTGGTTTTCTTACAGTATATGCAGAATCAGAATGTACCTGGGAATATTGAATTAACTGTGAATATCCTGACAATGGGTTATTGGCCAACGTATGTGCCTATGGAAGTCCATTTACCACCAGAGGTAAGACTTACTATTTAGGACCTGAGTTACAGGCATAGAAATCATGGCATTTCTATTTTAGTTGTCATTTAAAAATAGATACCTTTTAAAAACTTATGTTGGTAAACACACCTACACCAAATGCCAACTATTTTAATATTTTACTCTTGTACTTATATTCCCAAGTCCAGTTTAGTACATAGTTAATAATGCCAAGTTTCTGGGTTCAGGGTCAGTTTTCCTGACTGCTCTTTCATCTCCCCGGATTATACCTCTCTGACTAGCTATTAAAAATTATTGCCCATATTTTATCCAGAAGTGGGATAGATGAATGATGGGTGCTTGATTAAATCCGTTCTAACGCCTGGGGAAATATCTAGCTCACGACTAACTGGTGCCTAGAAAAGGGGTTAAGGCTAGAGAGATAGATACTGAGAATCCTCCATGGAGACGATCATGGAAACGCAGGGAGTAGATCTCCTTCAATAAGAGGGAGAATATAGAGAAGAGGAAGAAGAAAGGGCAGGGGGCCAAACTTTAGAAAAGGCTCACATTGGGCAGATGATAGGAAGAGGAACCTACGAAGGAAACCAATGCAGAAGCAGCAGTGAGATGAAAGAGCCAGCATAGTACAGAGGCACAAAAGCCACCGGATGTGACTATTTCAAAAGAGGGGATGATTAAATGAGGCAGAGTATAAAGACTGATAAATGCCATTAGATTTGGTGGTTGGGAGATAATTATTTTACATCAAAGTGATCGATTGACCCGTTGAATATAGTCTTAAAAACTTCCAGAAAGTATTACACATAAGTATAAAGAGTGGTGAATATGATATTGAATGCAGAGGTTAATTAAAGCCTTATTTTATTTACTTTAGATGGTAAAACTTCAGGAGATTTTCAAGACATTTTACCTAGGCAAGCACAGTGGCAGGAAACTTCAATGGCAATCAACCCTAGGACACTGTGTACTAAAAGCAGAATTTAAAGAGGTAAGTGGATGTTCCCAAAACTTTCGGTTTTCATCCTCTTTATCTTTAATATTGAGGTCATCCCTCTTAACTTGAAGGTTTAAGCCGTTTTATAAATGTATCCTAGGTATCTGCACAACAACGCTGATAGCTTGTCCCAACTTTTGTGTATATTTTTAAGATTTGGCCCTCCTGCGAAACCAAAAGCAATAAAGTTTTCCTCTACTCTTTCCTCACCTGTGGATGCAGAATTCACATTGCCACGTGTTGACAGAAATGTTGTTGCTGGCAGCTAGAGAATAGAGTGGGAGTTAAGGGGAACAGTTCCCATATCTAATTTCAAGAAACTCCTGTAGCTTTTCATGACTAATCTGAATCAAATAAGTTGAAAATGCATTTAAAATAGTGATTTCTTGGTGCTTGTGATGAATATCTGTAATGACACATAGGGCTGAGTTATTAATTTTCATTACTTTGTTGTTTTAATTATAAGGCTTAAAAAAGACCTGTTAAAAGGTCAACTAATCTTTCCCCCATTCTAGGTAGGATCATACCTAAACCCTACACCAAACATACAGTGTTACTACCTCAGGTGGCTTTTCTGGATAATGTTAATCCATGTTTATAAATCTACTAATCGAAAAATGCTTTTCCTATGAGAGATTCGTTATTTGATTAATTTTTCATGTGTTTTTTCAAAAAAATGATGGCTAAACACTGCTGTTTCTCCAACAGGGTAAAAAAGAACTCCAGGTCTCTCTTTTTCAAACACTGGTGCTGCTAATGTTTAATGAGGGAGAAGAGTTCAGTCTAGAAGAGATCAAGCAGGCTACTGGAATAGGTTTGTGTCGAAGCATTATTGTGTCCACTGTGTGTACACCACCATGTTAAGAGCTCTGGGGGATACAAAGGGATCCAAGCACTCTCACCTCAGCACTCTTAATATAACCATGGCGAAAGGGGAAACTGACACTTGAAATAATTTCAGAACCAATAAATACCAGTTTGTGGTGCTGACTAGAAGTGTCTTAGGAGTTAGGCAAAGCAAGAAATCACTGTGGACTGGCACAATTGGAAAAGCCCTCATGAAGGAAGTGGGACTTGAGATGGGCCACCAAGTTTTGGTCAGGGAGAAGGCATATGCAGCAAGGGGAAATATTGCGAGAAAACGCTTGGAGGTACGAATGGGCAGCATGGTCAGGAATCATGAATAGCTTAATTGTAGCATGGAATAAAGAGCTACAAAATTAGATAGGTAAGATGGATAGGGCTGGATCATGGAGAGCCTGATAAATCTAGCAAATGAAACCTACATTGTAGGATCTCAGATGTCGACATAATGGAAATAATTGGACAACTTACCTGAAATCAGAATACAAGGCAATTTGAAGGATGAAGAGATCCCAGTTCTGAAGCTATTGGGATAATTCAGGCATAAAGTGATAAGGGGGTTAGACTAGAATGAGGCCATGAGAATGGAGAGGAGGCATTTCTAAGGAAGCAAGTATTAGATACTGCATGGAGGCTGGAGGAGAAGGAAGAGTAAAAAGATGATTTCCAGGGTTTCTCACCAGACTAGGTTGGTAGTATCACCACTAACAATTGGAAAGAGGACATAGTTGTATGGGGAAGATGATGAATACAATTTTGGACATAAGTAGAGTTGATGATAGTAGAACAGCTAGGGGGAGGTGTCCTTTAAATGTGGGACTGGAGAGAAATGTCATTTCAGAAGATTTGGTAATTATCCACATGAAGTAATAATTGACATCTTTAGAAGATGACTAGGAAAAAAGCCATTGGATAGAACAAAGAAGAAGTTGTTGGTGACCTTGGGGGAAAAAGAAACAATTTTAATAGAGGGATAGGGTAGAAGCTAGATTGAGGTTCAATGTACTAGTTCATGCTGATAAACTGATAACTAAACCTCTGTTTGTTCTTCAGAGGATGGAGAGTTAAGGAGGACACTACAGTCATTAGCCTGTGGCAAAGCTAGAGTTCTGGCGAAAAATCCAAAGGGCAAAGATATCGAAGATGGTGACAAGTTCATTTGTAATGATGATTTCAAACACAAACTTTTCAGGATAAAGATCAATCAAATCCAGATGAAAGAAACGGTATTTCTTTTACTTTCTCCTAGTCCTAATGCACCAGAATTATGTATGTTCGTAATAGAAATGTATAAAGAAGATTTTATACCCGTAATATTACCACTACCATTAACATTTTCTGTGCCTTTATCTAACTTATTTCAGTATTTGATTTGGGGTTTTGGGGGGGTTGCACATGATTAGGTTGATATTCAACATAGTTTTATATCCTTATTTTTTCATTTAATATTCAATCCTCAGAACTTTTCCATGCCATTAAATATTAATAACGTCAAAAATGGCAAATGGCTACATAATATTCTTTTACATGGTTGTTATAATTTATTCAACAGCTGTTCATTGTTGGGCAGTTACATTCATGACTTTCTAGTATTGTAAATAAAACTGCAAGAAACATCTTCATGCCTAAATCTTAATCTCTCTGATCCTTCCCTTATGATAAATTCATGGAAGTAGGTTTTTTAGGTCAAAGGCTATGAAAATTTTAAGAGTCTTAGTACATAATGCTGTACTGTGTTCCAGAAAGGCTGGACCAATTTATATTCTGGCCCACAGCATATGAGTGCCTATTTTACTATGCTCTCACCGGCACTAATGATTATATTTTCTTTTAAAAAAGACTTGCTTGGTGAAAAATCCAAATGATTATTTAGTATTTCTTTGATTAACAGGGTAAATATTTTGTCTTTGCCATTTGAATTTGTAAGAGACTTTTATTAAGGAAACCAACTATAGCATCCTGAAACCAGTTGGTTTCAGTTCCAGTAAGATTTAATGCGATACTTGAGAAAGTTTTTATGTGGGACAAGGGTCAGTATCTTCAAACAAATTCCTATCTTTTTCCCATACACATCAAAGGCATGATATTCCCTTAAAAGATTACTATGTTCTTTTAAAACATTTATGCCATTCCAGAAAGAAACTGCTACACAAAGCCCAAACTGTTCTTTTGGGTTAGTTACTAAAAGATTAACATTTTTTGCTTCAGCTTCAAGATTGGAGAGCTAACTCCTAAAAACCTAAATTTCTGTAGGTTTTGAAGGAACGTAAGTACTAACTATGCATTTCTGGTTTATATATTACAAAATAAAAATTAATTTTCAAAGAGTTTGACTCTAGTTTGCTTAGCTAGTTAGTACCATGCTTTGAGTCAGAGTCAGTCACTTTATAGATAAGCTATTGTCATACAGAAATCTGGTTTCTTTGAGTCAGAGTCAATCACTTTATAGATAAGCTATTGTCATACTTAGATACTAAGGACAGGGTAAAAAAAGAAAAAAAGAACATGGTAAATTCCACATCAACCATCTCTACTTCCAGAAAGTCAGTTAAAGATGGTGTTTTTCTGTTTACTGATATTTTCATTACTTCATTGCTACAGAGCAGTGTAATTAGAACAGAAAGGAGTTATATTTGTAGGATTTTTTTCTGTCATTTTCTGTGTTTATAAGGTCCCATTTATGTAATTCAGTACTTTTAAAGCAATAATATTGTCATGTCCCTAGAGTGTACAATTTGTGTAAAAATAGTCAAGTTGCATTTCTGGTACAGTTCTTAAATGTAAAACTTTTTTGTTAGGTTGAGGAACAAGCAAGCACTACAGAAAGAGTATTTCAAGACAGACAGTATCAAATTGATGCTGCAATTGTTCGAATTATGAAGATGAGAAAGACACTTAGCCACAATCTCCTTGTTTCAGAAGTGTACAACCAACTAAAATTTCCAGTAAAGGTAGGTACTTCTGTGTTTTCATATTGGGCTTGTTATAAATAAAAGAGAATACATTAGATTACCAGACACAAATCTTACAAACATAGTTTAAATCCTCAAGACCATTTTTAGAGAGAAAAAAGTTTTAATTTCCTGTGATTGTGCATATGATTCTATATATAAAAAAAAACTTTGTTGGCATTTGTGAGTAGCTGCAACAAAAGGGGAAAACAATGTATAAAAGCTCTTACAACTGAAAGTTTAACTGCTAAATGTGTCCTTGAAATTTTCAAGTTCATTCACTGTATTTTTTTTTTTTTTTTTTTTTTGAGACAGAGTCTTACTCTGTTGCCCGGACTAGAGTGCCGTGGCGTCAGCCTAGCTCACAGCAACCTCAAACTCCTGGGCTGAAGCCATCCTTCTGCCTCAGCCTCCTGAGTAGCTGGGACCACAGGCATGCACCACCATGCCCAGCTAATTTTTTATGTATATATTTTTAGTTGTCCAGCTAATTTCTTTCTATTTTTTTAGTAGAGACAGGGTCTCGCTCTTGCTCAGGCTGATCTCGAACTCCTGAGCTCAGAGGATCCTCCCGCCTCAGCCTCCCAGAGTGCTAGGATTACAGGCGTAAGCCACCACACCCAGCCCCATTCGCTGTATTTCTTTTGAGCTTCTTTGTTGTATTTACTTCTTTTCACCTTGAAATACCATGGTATTTGACAGATTTGGTTATTTTAGATTGAGTTGAATCTTCTGTTTGGTTTCCTTATACAAGTGTCTGTTAAAAAACTATATACAGATAACTGGTCATCATTAAAGCATCTTTTTGAAAAGTTCTTTGATAGTTCTGATAAACTGAAATTGGTCATTAAATGGAAGTGTTCCAGTGTAAATGCCCAATATTAAAGACACTTAAGACAATGTAATGTTGTACTGGACTATTTTCCAAGTTTTAGGAGATACCCAAACCCTCGTGAGGATAAATACTCAGTACAGTTTGGATAAACTCCTGGCTGTTAGGGTTCTTACGAACTTTGGACTTTGGTAAATTACTTCACCTTGCTTAGCTTGTTTCCGTTTTTGTAAAATGAAGATAATAGTACTTGTAGGGTTATTGAAAGGCTTAACTGAGATCGTGAATGTAAAAACTTAGCACTGGATCTGGCATATAATAAGCACTCAATAGGTATTAGTTGTAAGAAGGTAAGATTTTTTTGCTACTCCAGACCTACTACTGCCTCCTCATTACCATGCTCTCACTCTCATGCTCTGCCTAACAATCATTTCTCCTCCAGCCAGAGAGATCACTGGTGCTAGGGAAGTTAGGGGATCACTGTAATAAATATTGTGTTCTAGGTCTTTTACCATAATTAAGAGAAAGTCATTTGATTTTCAAACCTTGGGATTACTGGATAAAATTGTGGCTGAAATTTTGGCTGCTTCATCAAACTACTTTTTTTTTTCTCCCTTTTTGATCAAGTGGTCATTTTACATATTCTGGAAAACTTCCTATTAGCAAACAAGATTATATTCTTTTTATAGGCTGGACACACAAGACATACAGTGGAATTTTGTCATCCAAGAGCTTAGAATGACAATCATGAAGACAAGCTACGAGTTTTCTTGATGATTTATCACTTAAAGTAGATAACAGTTAAATCTTAGATTAAACCCAAAATATGAAGATCTAAATTGTGAGATGATACATCATTTAGCAAGCCATTTGTGTAGTATTCTTTTAAATAGTGATTCCTCAATACATTTTTAAATTTAATTTATAAAAATGAAACCACCTAGCTTTTGCCCAAAGTAAAGATGTTCTTATCTTCTCAAACTGTCTTGGCAAAACTAAATAACATTCTGTTTTGCTAAACTATAATGCGTTTCTCAAGTGAAGGTATGATAAATGTAGTCTTTTGTATTTAACCATGCTGAGGGTAGCTGCTTCTTGGAAGACCTCTTTAAAATAGAAAAGTAATAGAAAGTATTGCATAACAATTTGGCAAGGGTATGACAGTATAACATATGTATAGTGTATCGTACAGGTTGGACATCCCTAATCTGAAAATCTAAAATGCTCCAGAATTTGAAACTTTTTGAGTGACAACATGATGCCACAAGTGGAAAATTCCACACCTGACCTCACGTGATGGGTTATAGTCAAAACTTTGTTTCACACACCAAAGGTATAAAATTACCTTCAGGCTATGTGTATAAGTTGTATATGAAACATAAATGAATTTCATGTTTAGACTTGGGTCCCATCCCCAAGATATCTCTTTATGTCTATGCAAATATTCCAAAATCTGAAAAAAATCCAAAGTCCAAAACACTTCTGGTCCCAAGCATTTTCAGATAAGGTACTGTCAACCTGTATAAAAACATTTCTTAACATGGTTTATTTATTTTCATTATACTTGTCTCTAAAAAGTTAGTGAGATTTAAATAAATAAAAATTGAGAAAACCAGTGAGCCAAAACTTTTTTCTTTTTAATGGGGTGTTGGTTAGTGGGCCTAAGCCAACGACTATGAGCTTTGCATTGAAAATTTGCTTTCTCTTATAGCCTGCTGATCTTAAGAAGAGAATAGAATCCTTAATTGACCGGGACTACATGGAAAGAGATAAAGAAAATCCAAATCAGTACAACTATATTGCATAGAATGTTGGCCTTGGAGCATTTGGTGTCATATGCAGTAGCCAGTGGATAAACTAACCTGTTGATCTTATATTATTTGACTTCTTTTATACTACCGATGACCAAATGAAGCAGTGTAATTAATGGAAATAGTTGAGTGGACTTTTTCTCAGTGGTTAACATGCCCATTTTAAAGAGTAATACTTACCTTTAAGAAGAATGTTGTTGAACTCTTTGACTCTTTGCATGTTATTTAGTATGATGTGCAGAAAACACTTAAGAAAGTACCTGGTCTTCATGATTCTTCTTTGGAACTGGGGAAGAGGTCCCTATGGCTATTAAGGGGGGGGGTTCTTATACACCATTAATTATGAAGCAAAAGGTTTATTTGCTTAAAATGTCATTTAAAGATACTTAAACTGCATGCAAACTTTATTACTGTACAGAGTTCTGGATGTATTTATCAAATAGAAAAACCACCCTTGACTTGGTTGTTCACCTGTTTTGTGATTTCCCTTGAAAAGAAAAATAAGTTGTCATAGCTATTGATATTTTATTAGGTAATGTTCTGTTACACTGAAAGGGATTTTTTTTTAAAAAAAAAAAACTTATTTGGAAACAAGTTTTCAAGTAAGGGGATAGTTGCTTACATAATATCTTGTATATTCACATCCTAAAATTTTCCATTTATGAGTATGGGATGTGTGTATATGGCTTATCCCCTGAGTTTACTGTGCTGATTAACAAGTACTTATAAAAATAGCTAAAATAGAAAATTGCTAATTGTACTACAGGAACATAATAGGAGAGAAAAATCCAACTCTTTCTTTATATTAAAAATGAATACAATAAGAAAATTGCAAAAGAGACCAAAATCAACATGTTTTATAAGTCATTACAGGAACAAAAACTCACCAACCAGTTTTCAACATACTTTAGACTTTAAATGTTGTTTGGACAGTTTTGTCTTTAACTTGGACCAATTGTAGATTGTTACAGGCTTCCTAGGATTTAGCATTCCTATTTACCAAAGTTTTTTTGGAAGCATCCCAACTCTTTTTTGATAAATAAGCCTTTCCTCTCATCTTCATTTTAACTTCCTAAAACCCTAGACAAAAAGGTCTTCCCTCATGTTTCCCATACACCTCCTATTTGGGAATTTGAAATTCCATGTCATGCTGATCTTCTTTTCAAAATTGCTTGAAGTTCAGAGGTCCCTTAGCCACTGAACATCTACTTTTCAGGGGAGTCCCAGGATTGTTCATACATAGAAAATGACAAAAGTATTGTTTTCAAATTGATAATGTGAGTAAAAGGCTTCTCTTTACCATGAGTGGTATTTTGTTTTTATTTTGCTTCCTCATTTGTATTTCCTTGAAGTTTTGAAGGGAATTGATCATGGAGGAGAAGCAAAAACTTTTTTATTTTTAAAAATCAGAACTACCTTAATGCTTTTTGCAACAGCATACTTCCTTGCCTGTTAGAGCCATTGGGAAGAATATCTAGGTCCGAATCTCCAATTGTGGAGACTTTTGGCTCTTGTTTCTACTATTGATTGTTTTCTTATCAAAGACCTGTGGCCAGCTATTAAAAAAAGTTGCCTGTTTCTTTCTGATTGCATCAACTTGCACACTGTTGTATGACTATACGTGGTATTTAGAATTACTTCCTAATTCTTTTTTGAGCAGTCATTGCCCCTGTGTTTTCTCAGCTCCTCCCTGATTTCCTTACATGAGCCCATCTGACAAGGAAATTCAACTATTTTGTTTTCCCTCTCCATACTGGACCATCTACATCAGTGTTCTAACTCATCCCTGATGGTCTCTGATATATGTAGGCTATTACAAAAGACTCAATAGTTACTCTTAAGCAATTTTTAGGTAGAGTTGGTCCTGTTAGGAGGAGACTCTTGATGTCACCTTCGTTATCTTGAAAGTGGGTCCCCTCCCTGAGGCTCATAATTTTTTGAAAACTTGATTCTGTTTCAGCTGAAAAATTAGCAAGACTATTAAAAAACAAGTTGAGGGGAGCTGTTTGAGAAATTGAAAAGTAATTGCAAACTACATTGGATAATTGTGACTTTCAGTTCTGTATCAGTTGAATTTTTGTGCTCTTTTCCCTGTGTATGTGGTGGTTCTATTTTTCTCCAATAAAACTTTTATTTAAAAAAGGCTTCTGGAGAAGATCTTTAAAATTCAAATATTGTAAGAAAGTTATAAAACCATAGGACTTAAAATATTCCCAATGATTTATTTTAATGAATTCACATTTGTCAATTTTGTTATTTTTTTATATTCTTTTTATTTTTGGGGTGGTTTTGTCATAATGCTAGAGGAGTGTGGGGAAGGGTATGGCAAAAAGGGTAAAATTCCCAGGAATCCTCAAGGTGGGTAATTATTCTTAAATATCATTTTAGAAAAAGCAAGTCTGTTTCATTCATATTCTCAAAGTCAAATAGGCAATATGAAACAAGTCAAGATTTGAGTTGAGTGGGGAGAATAAAAGATTAACTACTCTTACTTTACTTATAGTACTTGATCTACCTTTTCTGTTAATAGTTTGACTCCTGGGCAAAATACTCTCACAGATGTTCCTCAAAGGTTTTTGAACTCAGTTCCTGAGCCTGCTGAATGGTCTTAACATTGTACCTAGCCATAGTCTTAAAATTTTTACTGTGTATTTGAGTGTACAGTTCAGGAAATCAGTTTATTCCAGTTAGGCATCTGTGTCTAAAGGTTTGAGAAGTTTATCTTTTAATCTTAGTGTCCATAAATCTTTTTAAATTAGCTGGTTTTTGTTTTTATGATCACTGTGTTTAATGCTGTGAATGGCAGGAGTGTTATAAACATATTCTGTTCTCTCATTTACATAAAATGGCCAAAACAAATTGTTCATTAAAAAGAAAAAAGCAGTACTGATGGGAAGTTGCATAATTATACTTTATAAAATGGTATCTTTGCTAATGCTTCATTAGTGAATATTTTTTCAGTTTCCTAACAAGAAAATCTTGCTTTCCATTTGAATAGTGAACAGATTTGCTCACCTGGAAACACTTGGTTCATATCTAATACTTTGTTCAATTATTTTCCTTTTCCACCTTGCTATTAGAAAAAAGGGTATTTATTCTTTTGAATAGACACATACTTTTATGTTTAGCAATCCTTAGAAGTTATGTCTAGCATACTAAAAAAAAAAAAAACCTTTCTTTGGTAGAACCTTTTATAGTTGATGTAGAATATAAGAATGTAGTGCATTGGTACATTTTGAGACAGGGTCTCAATCTGTTGCCCAGGCTAGAGTGCAGTGACATGATCATAGCTCCCTGTAGCCTTGAACTCCTGGTGGGTTCAAGCAATTCTCCTTCTTCAGCCTCCTAAGTGGCTAGAACTACAAGGGTGGGCCACCATGCCTGGCTAATTTTTTTATTTTTGTAGCAATGGGGTCTTTCTATGTTGCTCAAGCTCCTGGCCTCAAGTGATCTTCCTGCCTTGGCCTCTCAAAGTGCCAGTATTACAGGTGTGAGCCATTGTACCTGGCCATAATTTTTAAATTTTTTTTATTTTGGTAGAGTACATAAAATTTACCATTCTAACCATTTTAAAGTGTACAATTCAGACATTTAGCAGTATTGTGCAACGATCACCATTATGTAGTTCCAGAACATTTCATCAACCCAAAAGGAAATTTGGTACCATTAAGCAGTCATTTCCCATTGTCCTTTTACCCAGCCTCTGGAAACCACTAATCTGCTTTCTGTTCTCTGGATTTCCTTATTCTGGATATTTCATAGCAAGGGAATCATGTGACCTTTTGTGTCTGGTTTCTTTCACTTAGCATGATGTTTTCAAGGTTCATCTATGTTGTAGTATGTATCAGTACTTCATTCCTTTTTATGGCGCAATAATAGTATGTATATACCGTATTTTGTTTATCCATTCATCACTTTTTAGACATTTGGGTTGTTTCTATCTCTTCGCTATTGTGCATAATGCTGCTATGAAGATTTGTATACAAATATCTGTTAGAGTCCCTGTTTTACAATCTTTTGGAAATATACCCAGGAGTAAAATTGCTGGCTTATATGGTAGTTCTGCATTTATTAATAACTTACCGAGGAACCACCAAAATATTTTCCATAGCAGCTACACAATTTTGTAGTCCCACCAGCAGTTTACAGGTTTTCCAATTTCTCCATACCCTCATCAACACTTGCTGATTTGGGGGTTTTAAATATTATTATAGCCATTCTAGTGGGTGTGCTTACTGGTCATGTGCTTACTGGTCATTTGTACATTTTCTTTGAAGAAAAATGTCTTCACATCCTTTGGCCAATTTTTCTCTTACTTGCTTTTGAACTATCTTTCAAGATTTTGAATAATCTTGTCACCGTTGTCAAAAATATATTGACCATAGCTGTATGAGTTTATTTCTGGACTCTATATGTTAATTATTATGCTAGCACTATACTGTTTTGATTACTATAGCTTCTTAGTAAATTTCGAAATCAGGAAATGTGAATCTTCAGCTTTCCTCTTTTACAAGATTGTTTTAACTATTTGGGTCCCTTACAATTCCATATGAATTTTAGGATCAGCTTTTCCATTTCTGCAGAAAAAGCCATTGAGATTTTGATAGGGATTACATTGAATCTATACATCACTTTGGGGAGTATTGTCATCTTAGCAATATTAAGCCTTCTGATCCATGAACACAAGAAGTCTTCCTACTTTTAGGTCTTTTTAAAGTTTCTTTCAGCTGGGCACTGTGGCACGTGTCTATAATCCCAGCTATTCAGGAGGCTGAGGTGGGAGGATTGCTTGAGCCTAGGAGTTCAAGACCAGCCTGAGCAACATAGCAAGACCCTGTCTCTAAAAATAATAAAAGAAAATATTCTTTCAGTAAAGTTTTGCACTTTTCTGTGTACAAGTGTTATATCTCCCTGGTTAAATATATTCCTAAATGTTTTATTCTTTTGGATGCTATTATAAGTGCAATTATTTTCTGAATTTACTTTTCATGTTCGTTGCCAGTGTATATAACTATGTGCAACTGATTTTTGCATGTTGGTCTTGTATCCTGCATTGGTGCTGGATTTATCGGCTTTAATATATTTTCATGGATTTTTAAGTGTTTTCTATATATAGTGTCCTTGCCAAGAAGTATAATTTACTTCTTCCTTTCCAATTTGGGTGACTTTTATTTCTTTTTCTTGCCTAATTTCTCTGGCTGGAGCATCCAATACAGTGCTGAATACAAGTTGCTTATGTGAGCATCCTTGTCTTAGGGGGAAAGCTTTCAGTCTTTCACCATTGAGTATGATGTTACCTGTGGTTGTTTCATAAATGCCCTTTATTGTGTCGAGGAAGTTTCCTTTCATTCCTAGTTTTCTGGATATTTTTATCATTAAAGGGTGTTGGATTTTGTCAAATGCTTTTTCTGTATCAATTGAGATAATCATGTTTTTTATTTATTCTGTGAATGTGTATTATATTGATTTGTTTTTATATGTTGAACCATTCTTAAATTCTTTGCATAAATCTCATTTGGTCATAGCATATAATGCTTTTGATATGTTGTTAGATGTGGTTTGCTACTATTTCATTGAAGATTTTTGCATCTATATTCATAAGGAATATTGGTCTGTAGTATTTCTGCGGTATCTTTGTCTAGCTTTGGTATCAAGGTAATGCTAGCCTCATAGAATGAGTTATGGAATGTTACCTCCAATTGGGCAGTTTAATCCTTTTTATTTATTTATTTATTTGTTTCTGTAGAGATGGGATCTTGCTATTTTGCCCAGGCTAGTCTCAAACTCCTCACCTAAAGTGATCCTCCCACCTTGGGCCTCCCAAAGTGCTGGGATTACCTGGCCAGTTTAATCGTTTGACATTTAAAATAATTACTGATGAGGAAGGATTTTGCCATTTTTCTGTTTATTTTCCGTATATCTTCTTTGTTCCTCAATACCTTTATTATTGCCTTCTTTTGTGTACTTTTTAAAAATACATGGGTTTTTTTGTTTGTTTTACTGTTATGCTTGATATACATGAAGTAATGGATACTGCATTTTTGCTTGTACATTTGTTCTTAGGTTGAATTTATAGCTTTATAATCTCAAACATCTAGTAGAGATAACATAGGCTTATTCGACTACTAAACCCAGATAGAATAAAAATTATGTGTCTGCATTATATTTAATGCTGATAACTCTGAAAGCATTTAGGCATTTCCTTTTTTAAAAAACTAAACAATATTCTTACCAAAGATTATCAAAGTCACGTGAACTTAAAAAGCATTTGGGGCTCTTATATTTTCTGAGAGAATACTTAATTTATATAGAGCATGTTTACAAATTAATTTTGGCAATACTATCCAGAGGTAGAAAAAATAGACATACAGATGCAAACATATTTTACAGCTTTTATTTTAAAATTTTAGCCATATGTCAGGTACAATAATACAAAACTCACTAGTTTGTAAAAGAACAGCTAGGTCTAAATTATGTTCCTGGCAGATGGAATAAGTTAAGATTGCCCACTCAGAAGGCTAAGGTTTTTTATCAATATTTGTGAAAAATACTTAAGATTTTTCATTTGCCCAGTTTCCAGATAGCTCCCTTTTTTCTTTGATGAGAGTCATCTCCCTGAGATATGCATCTTAAAAATGATAGCCCTCAGGCCCCAGAGAAGACTTGGTAGAAAATTCATATTTCAAAGGTACAGAGAAAGGATGATAGTTCTCTCCTAGAAGGAGTTTTGGAGCATATGTGTCTATTATCAGAGGTCAATCTTATGGAGGCCCATGGACTAAATTTTTAGGTGAGTGACTGAGGAGACATCTGGCGGCTGTCTCCAAAGCCCATCTGAATGGATAAAATTGACTGGTCAATTTCTGATTAGCCTTTTTTACTTTTTCTTTCAGCCTCAGGTAGTTGCTTTCCAGGGTCCTTGAGTCCCTTGAGAGCAGGGGGCCTAACATTCACATAACTGAGGAGCTGGAGTGGGAAGAAAAAAGATCTGGCGGGTGGACAGAGGGATGGAGGAGGTAGGGGTTTGGAAGGGAACAGATCAAGGTTCAAAGGAACTGAATTAATTGAAGGTTGAAGGTGGCAGAAGGAGGAGCAGAAGCAATGAGGTTTTGGAGCCAATTTGGGGAGATCTTAAGTTTTCT